GTAAATTGAAAATTATCATGTATAGGTACTACCACTCGAATCAGACATACAGGTGTTAACATGGACATATAGCCCTATTCAAATACAGCAGCTGAACTCACTGGTGTGTGGTCAGCACTGTATATTTTATTGGAGTGAAGTGAGCTGTTATCTGGTATGTGTTTACTTGAGCTCTGGAAAATGATGTAAGTTCACTTAGTTTAAGCAAACTGATTTTTAACAAAATTTTTACAGGTGATATAATTTAATTGTGTGGAAAAGACTACAAAAGGAAAATGCACGACACAATGGAATACAGACTTAAAATAGGACTTTTTAATTTGACAAACTTTAACAGCCCATTGAAGAGGCCCAAAACGGGGAAACCGGAGTCTGGTCACTCTACAGGTAAATTACAGTACGTCCGTGAAGTTGATTCCCTATTCCCTATTCCTTATTCCATTACTTATTCGACGGTGCAGTTGATTACTTATTCCTTATTCCTTATTCAATTACCTATTCGAAATTTTCATTCCTAATTCAATACCTATTATTTATTCATTCAAAAATTATGAAATAACACAATAAATGTTTCTAAATAATTATTAAACGTGCTCATTCTATTATTCCTCTTTTCTATTACAGTGCACATATTCAGTACACTTTTCTTAATCCCTCATTTCTTATTCGATATTCCCATTACTTATAAACAATAAAAAATAGCTTTAAATGAATGAATAAACGTTTTAATTGCATTTTCCACCTATACAACATATGTAAAGTGCTCATTACTTATTCCAATCCTTCATTACTTATTCGATTTTCTCATTACTTATTCGATTTATTATCATTTATAAACAATATACATAGCTTTAAATGAATGAATAAACGTTTTGATTCAATTTTCGACCAATACGACACATGTTAAGTGCTCATTACTTATTCCAATCTTTCATTACTTATTCGATTTTTTCATTTCTTATTCGTTTTTTTCATTATTTACAAACAATAAAAATAGTTTTAAATGAATAAACATGTGTTGTATAGGTCGAAGAAAGGAATTAAAACATTTATGCATTCATTTAAAATGATCTTTATTGTCTATAAGTAATGAGAGGAGGAATAACGAAAAGGAACTGAATACATAACAGAAAGGAGGAACAATAGAATGGGCACGTTTGATAGTTATTCAGAAGCATTTATAGTGTTATTACATAATGATTACATGAATAAATAATAGGTATTGAATTAGGAATGAAAGTGTCGAATTGGTAATTGAATAAGGAATAAGTAATCAACTGCTACGTCGAATAAGTAATGGAATAAGGAATAGGGAATAGGGAATCAACTTCACGGAGGTAATTACAGTATACATGTTTGCTGGTTATAATTACTGTAGGAATTATCTTACCTATATACACTGAATACCTACTAGAAATACATAACGTAGCTCAATATCCCACGTGGACCCCCAGTTTCTACATGACTACATGGAATCTATAAACACAGGGACAAACTGTCTTATTGGGAACAAACATGCTCACTCTTATTATGGAAATCAATATGACAGTGATTCAGTACCATTCTCATTACCTGGTGGATTAGAGATTTGTTCATGAAACATTCGAAGGATCTATGGCAAACTACCTGATATTAACCATCATGTATAAACTCAAAACCTGGACGCACTGTGTTTTCAGGAACGTGGCTAAGTTCAGCCATTACTGATGAAGAACTCCCAATTAGGAGTTACAATACATTATGTTAGGACAGGCAAGGAGACCACCGGCATGGTGGAGTCGCTTTATATATCAAAGATAACATGTCATTCACAAGAAGAAACGATTTGGAGGTGCAAGATCTTTTCAAGAGCGTAACTGTGCTTGAATTAAAGCTATGATAATGAAACATGATGTGTATACATTGATCATATGAAGACATAATACGAAGTATCAATGATAGAGTCCGCAATCCGCTTAATTACATAATTATTGCCCTTTGTTTATTTTCATGAGCATAGTTTTGCTTGCACTAAAACTAGGACCCTGAAACTTGGTGTTTTGTTCATACTAAGAGAATGTGCAGCATACCAAATCAAATTCGGGGTCAGCATCTCCTTAATTACAGAATTATCGCAGTTTGTTGAAATTTTGCGTCCAATAGATTTGTGTTGGGGGAACAGTCATCAGTGTCACTGGTAGTCGTGTACAAAATTAAGGATTATTATTATTAGAACAATGTCTATACTGGTTCTACTTACCTCGCGCTTCGCTTCGAACTGGGCGGTAGCCATTTTAAAATTGTCATGTTGTGAATTTTTTACCTTTCTCTGTAGCCTATGTATCAATAGCATCAAGGATCACTCAGTGGACGCCCTTGGTCTTGTTGGAAATTTTCATTTTCAGGCAGTAAAATGAAAAACATTGTAGGTCTCAAACAGATATCAAAGGATGGAAAACAAATTTGTATAAAACTTACCATAATGTCATATTCTGATTTATCTAATAATCAGTACGGTATCATTTATCTCTATCAATTTATATTCTGCATATCTGAAGAAAATTTGATAATTTTTATTCAAAGTTTAGCATCAAACATTTCTAAGGGTTCTCTCCCTTTACAGAATGTGTAAAGATGTTTTCATACCTCTTGATCAATGCTGGTGGTCAAATTCATCGACAAATGCAATACATTGGATAGTTACATTGAGTCCAACTTGAGCAGAAATTGAAATATATGTACATAACAACATCAGGTTGTCTGGTATCAGATGATTTATAACACCAACCCAATCTTGGTACAACAACTGCTGTCCTAAATTTCCAACACAAAGTCATTTAGAATTTAACACTGTGATAAGAAATTAATATCATAGTTACAATATTTTTCCAACCACCATTTACACGCCAGAAATCAGTAACATGTTCCGACAAATTACACTTAGTTCTGTCATTGATCGTTACCATAGAAACCACTTTACTAATCAAAGTCTTCGCTTCGAAAACCAGCATCCGTTCTAAATCTGCCTAGTTCTTCGCCAAGTCATGCGTGATAACAGCCTCCTTATCGTTCTCCACGTCATAATACAACTTTCCACTGGTGTAGAGCCGGTATCGTACCTCCTTGAACACGCACCTCTCGTTTTTGTACACGGTACAACTTACGACGTTTGTGACCTCAGTTGCCACTGGAAACTCTTCCTTCAGAGTCTCCGAGTATCGAGGAAGTCTTGGACTAGTTCCAGTTTCTTGTAATGAGCAAATTCGACCTGGTCGATGGTTACCGTTCACAAATTTTTCAGAAAGGTGCACATTACTGAAATCTATATGATAATCAATATCGCGCTCATAAAATAGCAAATCAAACAGTTTAGTCCTAGCGACCTGGGTGATTCCCTTGTAGTCCTTGGAATACAGAAGATTGTTCAGGCTTCAAATGACACAAGGTCCTCTAGATTAGTCCTCTCAGAGATCCTGTAATTCTTATGTAAACCCGTTGATTTAGGTCCAAGTCGAGGTCGTACGTATAGTGCGGGGTTTTCTCCATGTCAATAGTCGGACCATGTGGTTGTTTACAGATAGATTTCGCCCCAGTTCTCTTATACACTTATATGTCTTTAAATTTTCATTTCTCATGTAACAATTAAATTGACAATAGCACGGATTACGCTCTCTATCGCTCTCTGTACCCCCGGAAACCATCCTCGATACACCACGGATTACGCTCTCTATCGCTCTCTGTACCCTCGGGAACCATCCTCGATACACCACGGGTTACGCTCTCTATCGCTCTCTGTACCCTCGGGAACCATCCTCGATACACCACGGGTTACGCTCTCTATCGCT